GAGCTTATGTAGGAATGAGCTATGTCAATAGCTTCCTAATTCCACTTGTTATGAACTTCCCAGCACGCTCAGCTCTTGAACACATTTTCCGTGATATGGCCTATGTGTTCCATCTCTATTACACTAACATTCCAAGTGTTTTCACAAGCTTCACTACACGCTCACCAAATACTTCTTTAAATACCAACGCAGTTTCGACCGATCGACGAGCATCCATTCATACATCCGTCTACTCAAACATTTCTCTTCCCTTGTACTTCTTCGCTGTATTTTTATCTCATCATTCCAATCCTAGTAAAGTGTGATGCGATAAAAGTTGAAGTCACCTGCTGCACGAGAAGATCGCGATGTTTTGCGCGACAATCTTTAGGTATGATGCGAAAACAAATGTTAGTGTAATGTCAATAGCAGCATTGATTCGACATTCATGAGGCTTGGCTCAAGCAATTCTCACTCAAACAAATTTTAAGCAATTTGTCAGTGTTCAGAGTGAACTTGTTGCTCAATTCAATGTTTTCAGATCGTTGCCATAGCTTCGAGGAATTTTGAGTCTTTCAGTACTTGATGTGTTCGTTGCCTGATAGTGGGAATGAAATCCGAGAAAATTACTGCTATAATAATGAGTGTTGAATGATTTGTATTCGTTTTATTCATTCACCTATTCATTCATTCAAAAAACCACTCTGAGAACAGCTGTCGTTGTGAGGGTGGTAGTTAGCTCATCTTCATAATGTGCGAATGTGCTTTTCGAACGAACCAATGCTCGCGAATTGATCGAAAGTTGAGTTATTTATGCAATCAATTGCTTTTCAGTTCTAACAGTTTATTTGCCTCTAAACTCTGCGCCACTAATAAATAACTCAATGATAGTTCGGCTATTCAGCACCAGCTGTCATAAATTTTTTGGATCATACATACGTCGAGCATTTGGTTAAAAGTATCCATCGCACCGGTCACCGATCAACGTACGGTACCTTCATGCTAACGCATTACGCCTCATTATCCGTCTCCACTCCGTCATCGTCCTCAAAATGACCGCAATACACTTACCGCAAAATTTCAATTTTTCTTTTTCACGCTCACTTGAATGAAGTTTATCCACCACTAGCAACAGAACAAGTGAAGCAAATAAATCCCACACTTCTATATCCTCTGCACGATCAGTGTTTCGTATCTCTCTTTTCAACGAAACTTTTATGCGATGCTATGTTCAAGAGCATTTCAGCTGATTATTTCTGTTTAAAAACTGAAGTGAAATTAGTATTTATTGGAGACCAGTTTGGGCGATAAAGCAACAGATGAATAGTGTGCAATGTTATGAAAGATTGTTGACAACAAGACAGTCATATAAGCAAGAGTTAATGTTGACAATTTTCAGTGCTCGCCAGTATGATGGCGTCCTCCGCGGAGGAGGATGACCATCATGCGGATGACCCTCAAAAAACAGACCTCTGGCAGCAAACGCTTCAGGTATGCTTTCATTTCACACATATTCGATGGCATTCACATAGTGTTTTTTGTTGAGAATATCACTTTTCATTGACAGTATTTGACCTGCTCAACAGGGCATTCATTGCTGGCAAGCAGCAGGTGATCTTAGTGACCTGAAAGTACTGCATTTCGATGCCTCTTCGCCGCAACTCAGTTCTAAATTTCCAATATCGCTATTGTGCAAATGAATTGAGATTTTGGAGGTGTTTCTGTTNATCAGTCCATCAGTCACTCAAAGCAAAAAATTTGACTCCATCGAGAGACAAAAATACGAGGAGCACAACTGTATAGAATCAACAAAGCCTAAGCTTTGAAGCCAGAATTCGATATCATTGTGGAAATTGTCGTTAAGCATTCTCCGCTCTTTACGATCACTGTTAATCTGTAACGATACGAATCTAACGTCGGGATGTCTTTCTCTTCGCAGCTTTGTCTACTTCTCCAGTGTTTTGCAGCTTTTTGTTTAAGATTAATGTTATCTCTTGATCACACATCGTTTCAGACCGTTCGAATGGTTGATTCTGTTTATGATATGCGCGAATTGCATCGCGCTTGCCGTTTACCAGCCTTATCCCGCTCAGGATTCCGATATCAAAAATACTATCCTGGTGGGTTTCAATTCATGTTACCATACTGATTTATTAAACGTGTAAGTCTCACCAAGACTGCTATCACTTCGAAACGTTATCAGTCTGGAACTATTACATCAATGAGCGCCAGTTTCTTCTCCCTCCAGCGCTGAGCTACAAGACCATCTCGAAGATGGCCGTAAGTTGAGCGAAAACAAAACCGTGCGCGCAGCGATATCTGTCTAACGACAATTTATTATTCTATGCATAATACGTAAATAGCTAATCAGAAAGTGACAATGAATCCGGCAATTGACATGACTCCAACAATGAATAATTCAGCTCAGAACTAAACATTGATTTCGTTCAGTTTTTTCCCAATTCAAACAACAAACGGCGATCACAATCGCTCGCATTCATTTGTCTCATTCATGCTTGACTGGTTGATTGCGAAAATAAAAACAAACACTATACACCTGTTCGAGGAAGAACATTCCTCACGTTTTATCTGTTATTGACTCGTATTCGATCAAATAAACAGAGTTGAGCGCGTG